TTTCTAGCGATCAGAGTTTTCGGCCCATTCCTTTTGGTCTTCAAAGACAACTACATAATTTGATATTCATGGTCTTCTAGCAATTTTGAGTTGAACCAATGCTTTACAAACATGTGTAGAACCTAACTAGCCAATAATTTGTATATCATCCGTATATGCAAAAACTGATTTGAGGTTGGGAGAGCGGATCAAAAGGGGAGGCCGGGACCAGAACCATTGTAACCACCATTCGGTGGAATGAAGAATTGTATTATTATAGTAAATATTAAACCACCATTCGGTGGAATGTAAGAATTATCTTACTATATTACATAAAGAACTACTATGCATAAGAATTTTGTTTTAATTTATATGTGAGGAAAACCCATGAAATACACAAAGGAATTAGTAGTGCTACTACACCATGTTGCCTAAATTCATCATACACAAGGCATAACAAATTGTGCTAAATTTCACATCATAGTACAGAGCAGCATGACTGAGATACCTGTAAATTGGAAACTGTCATTTCTTCCGCTTGAGGTTATCAGGATATTTCTGTGCAAATTATAAGCAAAGCAACAATGCATTAGAAATAAGAAAGCCACCCGTTCTGATGGCAATAATACTAGACTTACATTATAGGCATGTACTGACCCAAATAATTAAAGCTGCAAGGTTAAAAATCAGTTCACGAACTGAATCCATACAAGTTTAACAATCAGTGCAACTGTAACTAGGAATACTAGTCTATTAGCTAATAGCAATGCAACTGTAACCATACATTAAAGAGTTGCTCAATATACAAAAAGACCAAGCATAACTAAAGTAACTTGGGCATTTTGTTGTCAACCAAAGTGCAAAATCAGAGTTGCCAAGTAACACAAAGTTCTTGACTAATGATAATATGTCATTACTCTATTAAATACCTTAATCTAAGACGGTATAAAACCATCAACACAAGAGCTAATTACAGGAAATAAGGAAAATGTAGTTTTATACCTAGTACTTGAAGCCTCAAGCTTGCTTGCTTCTTCCTTGGAAGTCAGAACATCAACACCTGCTGCTCGGCCACTAGCAGACTCGCTCTTGCCACTAGCAGCTCCACTGCATGGTAACGCCAACAGTAGAACACGGCATCACGCTGCGTGTCACATCTTTTAGAACAAGGGATAAATTATTCTCACTTAGAACATCAATGATGATCACTATCACTATATATATTGGTCGAGGTCCAGATTAGCCTTGTCATATGTGTCCCGCTTCTATGATATATTTGTCATATACAAATTTAAGAAGCTAACCTAAGCATCACAAGATGGACCAAAGAAATACATAAATATGCATAAATCAGTAGCATTATAACACTAGGTATGGGTACACTTACGAGTAGCATATGTATTGAGTATACAAATATTTAGTTTGGGCTAGAACGTTCATGTGAGTATTTAAAAATAAAATATATGATGAATCTCATAAATTGGAGTTCAAAGATAAAAACACACTAATGTTCTGGTTCTTACAATAGATCGTGGTACCATAAATTTAGAGGTAATCAACTTCGACAAGCGTGTGATCAGTATTCATGTTCAGGTAGGGTGAAACCTACAAGTTCGTAGTTCATACAAAAGCGAAATAAGTCAGCTCATTAAAACCCTTTGTATGTGACTATCGTTTTTCTTTTCATCTTACACAAAACTGCATCAAGGTGACTAAAATATTTAGCGAAAGGCACACAATCTCTATTTCAACAAATAGATATTTACATGAGTATTCAATTCTAAAGAATCAATTAAAGGCAAAGCAAGGGACTCAATTCTACAGATCATACATCCAAGATGCGAGACATGATCCGAACCTAGGCCTTCTTAGTGGAATACCATCGAACAATTACACTCGCATCCGAAAGCAAAACATGAATAGTTTAAAGAAAATTACTTTCGCAATTGCTATCCTGCTTTCGGATTGGATGAAATGCCGATCCAATATCTCTAAAACATATAGCTTTCATTAGTAATACGGTTCGCTAATGACTCCAATACCATAAATGAGCAAGGAACAATTAGTGTACATAGTGATAGGATTAGCACCTTGTTCTTGCACCAATGAGAAAGACAATTTAATGTAAAATCAAAGCTAGACATGATTCTAGATGAAAATGGCAAATCCGTCACACAAAGCAGAACGTAGAAACTTACTTTTGCAACCCACATCAAGCACAAAAAGACCCCCACGATTCAATGCAACAACATCACAGTCACTCTAGGTCACCCAAAGACTAGTGCGACACGAACAATTGTCAAGTCCAAAAGCAACTGGAACCGCAAAAAGGATACTCATCCAAAAATCTAAGAACTAAGAAACCCCACCAATCACAATCTCTCTATTTCCCACATTGTGGGATGTGGATTCCCATTCCCACAGTAGCAATTCCTCTCGCCATGCCCAAAACAAATAGGAACCCAGGTAACCAAGGAGCGCTTAGGGTCCACGGATCTCACCAAAAAATACCTCGATTCGACATGGGATGGATCCTCCGCGGGTGGGGAACGACCGTCGACGCCGCCGCCGGCGGAAAGGGGCGTCCGCAGGATCTCGCCTGCCCGACCCACCCCGAGGAAGAAGACGACGGCATGGTCCCCGGATCCGGACCACAGCCCAGACCCCCACCAGTAGAGGAGCCATAGGTGGTGGTGAGGACCATGGCATGTTGGGGCGGCACCAAGTAGGTATGGTGCATGGGGGCGCCATTGGCGCTGGATGAATTTAGGTTGGGGAGGGCAAACTAGGCTCGAGATGCGCCATGAATGCACGGGGTGTCGACGGGCGGGCGTGGGCGGAGGAGGAGCCGGCACAAGTCGCAGCGCGAGATGGAGGAGAGGCCGCTGCACGCCAGGGGAGGAGGAGGCGGCGGCAAGCAGGCAAGGAGAGGAGGAGGAGGCGAGAGGCGCACTGCACGGACAGACGGAGGGCGGCAAAGACCAGGTGGCGAGGTGGCTGCGACGGGCGTGGGAGGCAGCAGTGTTGGGGAGATTTTGTTAGAATCACCGAGAGTTTTGCATATTTTGTTGCCAAAATATGAATTATTCACATGTAAATAATAAATAATATAGTACAAAATTTTATAATTATTTTTTATAGACATATTTACATATACAATAACTAAAACAACTACAACAGTTTAAAATTGCAAAATTGAACTTTTAAAAATGAAAAAAAATAAATAAAATCAAAACTACTAAAATAATTTTGAGACACCAAATGATCTCAAAAGAAAATTTGATAAACATTAAAGTTGTAGAGATCACTATGATCATATAAGGATCATCTAGAACAGTGTAATTTCTCTTTTTAATCTGTAGGTAAACTTTGTAACTAGTTGTTCTCCCTCATACTAACTCCAAATGTGATGGTTTTTTTTCTAAAAATTTCTAAAATCATGCTTCAACATTTAAGTTTGTTCAAACTTGGATGTGACAATGTTTTACACATTTCAAAATTTGAAATTTAAAATTTGACAAGTTCAAACTAAATTTTCAAACCCTAAATGATTTCAGATGTAAAAGTGATGAATACAAAAGTTGTTCAACTCATCAAGATCTAAAACTTTTATTTTAGTTATCTTGTCATTTGACTAAATTTGAACCTTTCAAATTTGAAATTTTAAAAAATAACAAGTTCGAACTAAAATTTAAGACCCAAAATGATTTCAACATAAAAAATAATGAATACCAAAGTTGTTCAACTCATTAATATCTATAACTTTTATTTTAGTCATCTTGTCATTGGACAAAATTTGAACCTTTCAAATTTGAAATTTTGAAAAACGATAAGTTCAAACCAAAATTTGAGACCCAAATTGATTTCAACATAAAAAGTGATGAATACCAAGTTGTTCAACTCATGAATATCTGCAACTTTTATTTTGGTCATTTCTTTATTTAATAAATTCTTAACACACATTGTTCACTAATCTTACACATGTCTCATATAGTTTATAAAACTTTACGAGAGATGTGTCACATTTGTGAACAATGTCAGTACCACTTTGTCATATGAAGAAATGACCAATACAAAAGTTGTAGATCTTGAAAAGTTATTCAACTTTGGTATTTATCACTTTTTCGGCTGAAATCATTTGTGGTACCAAAATCTTGTCTGAAGTTGCATTTTTTTGAAATTCAAAATTTAAATTCTCGAACTTTTCATATGTATATATTGACAAAACCAACAAAATAAATTGATAGAGAATGATTTTAGAAAATTTTAGGAAAAAAATCATCAGATTTGGAGTTAGTATGAGAAAGAAAAACTAGTTACAAAAGTTGACCCACAGATTAAAAAAAGAAATCACACTGTTCACTATGATCATATAAGGATCATCTATAACAGTGTGATTTCTCTTTTTAATCTGTGGGTAAACTTTGTAACTAGTTGTTCTCCCTCATGCTAACTCCAAATGTGATGGTTTTTTTCTAAAAAAATCTAAAATCATGCTTCAGCATTTAAGTTTGATCAAACTTGGATGTGACAATGTTTTACACATTTTAAAATTTGAAATTTGACAAGTTCAAACCAAATTTTCAAGCCCTAAATGATTTCAGATGTAAAAGTGATGAATACAAAAGTTGTTCAACTAATCAAGATCTACAACTTTTATTTTGGTTATCTTGTCATTGACTAAATTTGAACCTTTCAAATTTTAGTTGTTATTTATTCGTGCGCCATCAGTAGGGGCGGCTGGTGCCAGTCGAACAGCAGGGGCGGCTGATGGCAGCCGCCCTTACAAATGGGCACTGCAGGGGCGGCTGGTGATTGAGCCGCCCCTACAGATCAGCCCAAATCTGAGGGGCTCGGGGTTACCAAATTGTCCCTCACAAAGGCTATCTATAGGGGCGGTCAATGATGGGGCTCGAGGACGCCATTGTTGAGCGTCCCAACCCCAAATTACCTCCTATAAGAAAAATACCCCCATTTCTGGTGTTAGAATGGTGTAGTGAGGAACCCATGTAAGAACCACATCAGGTGGCAACGATGACCAGAGAAAAAGCACAACCTGCCACCAATCAGAAACAGAGGGAAAGAACGCACAAAAACACAAAGGCAACACGGAAATTAGCAAAGCTCAGATCCATTAACCAAAAATCCAAACAGCACCAATGGCAAAAGGAAAACCCACACTGTTTAGAAAAAAAGGAAAACCCACACAAAAACAAAACATAGAGCTAGCCCCACGTCAGAAGATAAACTCTAAAAGCTTGGAGGACATAGAAAAAAAAATCGGAGGACACAGGCAAAAAAAGAACCGAGGAAAAGACAACGCCGTCCAAGAGGATACAGAAGCTTGGAAATGTATCACCCCGTCGGAGTGGAGGAAGAAAAACCAAGGCACCGTCTGCAAATCTCGTCCACTGGGCTACGCTACTTACGGCTGCAGCTGTGGCTGCGATAAGCACAGCAGGTGGAAAGTGCATCGTCGTCCCCTCCGCCTCGGAGGGAAACAGAGAGCATAAATAAAAACACCCACTTCGTGCAGCGGAGGACGTCGTTGGCAGAAATAAAGGGTATATATATAGATGCTGGATTTTGGTTGGATGGATAAGCTAAACAAAGATATCCACAATAATAACAAACATTATGAGTAGATGCTGAATATCGTTGTCCTAAAATATCGGGTGGATAAGGATATCCATATGTTGATTAACGCATGTTTTGTGCGACGATTAGAGTAGTATAGTGCTAGTTAACATATTTTATTTTTAATTAGCGATTATAATAACATGATTAGTGCCGGTGCATACTTATTAGTGTATAATTAGTTGGTATTATTTTAAATCATAGATATAATTAGTCAAGTATTCTCATCACATTAAATATCATCCATCCAACCAAACAGAAAAATAACTCGCTGCATCCATCCAAACATACACACAACGTAAATATCCATGTCCCAAGATCTCTACCCTTGTGCTCGAACCGAACACCCCCAAGTACCTGTAGCATAGGACGTCGATGGTCGCGACGACGCCACTCCGTCAGGCGGTTCACCACGGACGGAAGAGGCGAAATAAAAACGCCTGGCACAAGCATACCCAGTGAAAACAAAAACACAGCCCAACAACGAGGACACGAATTCAACAACAGAGGAAAAAAACACAAAACAAGGCTCATAGATCCGCTGCCACAAACAGAAGGTCCATCGACGCACACACAGCCAGCATCGAGGATACAGAGGACACCAAATTAGATGAAAAAACAAATCAATACTCCACCTGATCTAGAACCAAGAGGAGAGAAAAAGAAAGTTCCCGTTAGGAGAGGAGAAAAGCGAAAGGGTCCAGACCTTCTCGGAGCTTGCGGCTCCTCAGCACTGACCCTCGGATCCAGCCCACTCCGCCTTGCCCTGGTAGGAGGCAAGGCTGTGGGAGGCGGCGCCACAACAGTGGAGGACGGCGTCGAGTAGGTGTGGCCAGCTGACGCGGATAGCACGGTGGCAAGCCTCGGCGGGTCGGAGCGGACGGGAGCTGCAGCTGCGGCGACGCAACGTAGTGCTGCGCTGGCCACTGGTGCTGCTGCTGGTGGTGGTGGAACGCCTCCCCCTGCAGCGCACAGACAGCTGGGGCCGTGGTCTGGCTCTCCACGCCATGCTCGACCTCCATGGATGTGCCGTCGCCGTCCTGAACAGCGTCCATCATTTCTGCGGCGGCCGCTATGGAGCTGGAGGCGGCATGGGCATGGACCTTGGCGGGCGCCCACGGGACCATGGCCAGGTTAAGGTTCTCATCCCTGGCGGGAGAACTCGGCACCTGCGGCGACGGCGCGGGGGCGAGCGCGGCCAGCCGAGGCGACGGCTTGGCGCGATGAAGACCTTGTGTTCAACTCACTGTCCAGTCAAACAGTGGCAAATCAAGATTTTCGCTTCACATATACATCGACCAAGAAAACAAGGGGAATAGTATTCAATAGCTACTCACTTCCAGGGGACATCCCCAACCAGCATCATATATAATATATATATCACCTTCATGTCGGTGTACACAACCATCCATTCCTTGTTAGATCCTTTCAGCTGACCTTTGAAGTCAAACATCTCATCTAGCTCAGCAATCAAATCTGTGTAGCCATTGAACTTTATAAGATCCACAGACCTGTCGCACTTCCTTGCCTGTGGACCTGAAATGAACGCCAGCAATCACAGTTAACGTTTCATCAAAAAAAGTAATAGTTAACAGTGCATAGAGCCACAACATACAGATGACATACCATGCAGTTCCAGACAAGGAGTAAACTGCAAGTATATATGCTTAGATATTGCATACAGCCATAGCATTCCAGATGGCATCTAGCATGCAGTTCCAAACAATGAGTAATATGGAAGTAATGGAGATTCAATTATGTCCGCACGGCTGCAATAGGAAATTAGCAGGCTTTGGAAGTTCGTCTAGCTAGTGCACTTGAACAATGTAAACAAACATTCAGCCTGTTCAGGAGGCCGTATCGTATCGTGAATTATTTACTGCTGGCTGGTTTGGTGTGAGAGAAAAATACTGTTTCCGGCTGGAAATTTACGATCGTTTACGAGCAAGCGAACAGGCTGATTAATGAAGGGTACATCAGAAACTATCTTTACTGAGATTAATCGGGGGCACAATGTAAAAAGGATTTACATGTAGCTCCAATCTGCCTGCATTCGACAGACCTTAGCAAAGATTAAAAAGTGGAGACGCTTGGTATAGTAACAAGGAAAACACACCTTGCAGCTTCTGGTTTACAAGAATCTGTACAATCACTCCGCTCCGTTGACCCCTTGCATCAGGAAAAATACGCATCAGGGATCATGGGAGGCAAGGTATTCCAAAATCAGAGAACACATGATTAAAAAGGCACGACAATTTAACTAAAGATTTCAGAGATGCACCACAGCTCCCATGGCGTCAGATCAAAGGAGGGCCAAATAGAAACACTACACCCACACAGGCAACCAAGAATACGATAAAATGGAAGAGCAGAACAAAAAGATATGTAAAAGAAGGGAAAACAGTGGAGAGGGGAACACCTCACATACGCACCGCCGCCCCCATCTGTTCGTCTTCGTAGCAGAGAAGAAAGGAGGACCACAGAGCCCCCATCTCTTCGTCTCCGTATCTTGGCTCAAAGTTTCTATGCAGCTAAACGATGTGTCCTGCAGACCTATTACCTATCAGGACCTGCGTTAAACAGCACACATCAGTAGAAGTTCAAATGAATCAGAGAATAGGTGTTTAAAGAAGCTACAGTACACCTCGACATCAGTTGGAGCAATAGGCCGGTTTGCGGCGGCAACCCATCTGTGAGGTAGCAACCAGCAATGGAGCTGGTGAGCAATGGCGAAGCCAGATGTCCAGTGACAGCATCTTAAACAGGTCCGACCCTAGATGAAGAACGAAGTAAATTTAGGAAATTCAGAAAGACAGGGGGGGCGTTGCCTCAACACGACCCTAGATCAAGAAGTCAATCAAGAACCAATGCGGATCAGAGGGAATCAGGCCATCAGGGAAGCTAGGCTTAGGGATTTGGGGGAAATTGCAAGAGGAAGAGAATGGAGGCCGGAGGGGAACTAGGTGCTCACCAGGTCTGCTCAGCAGTTGGCACTTGCAAGGGAGGGGGTGGCGAGGCGGTGGCGGTCGGCCTCTGCAGGCTCCGGTGTCGGAGCTGGCAGACAGCGCAGGCAGAGAGGGGCCAAAGCGCGTCCGCGTCCACGTCCTGTGGTAGCGGTCCATACCAAATCAGCCAACAATAATCGCCTGGTCGGACGCGGAGGCGCAAAGCGGCGGGCGGCTGCCGACCGGCGTCGGGCGTGGTTGCGTTGAGGCGCGTCGCGTGAAGTACCGGCCGGGCGAAGCGAATCCCCGCTCGTGGAGACGCAGAAGCGAGGCGTCGAGTCGGGACGGTAGGAGGCAGCGCCCCAAGCTTTGCCACGACAACATACCCGCGGCAGGCCATCTCGACGTTTGGGAAGGCAACCTCCTGGTGATTGCTGGCGTCGTTGACCACGCCCGGCACTCGTGCGTCTGCACACGCGCCATCAGCCATCATCGGCGCGCCTAGGAGGAGGTACCTGCAAGCATAAGGGTGCAAACCTCCAGCACGACGAGCACGGTCGTCTCCATCACCGTAGCGTGGTCCCTCGTGCCGCCCCCGACGGCCACCGCAGCGGCAGTCCCAGAGCCGCACGTCCTCCATCCAGGGCCCCGCTCCGAGGAAGGAGGGGGTCGACGACGCAACCGAGCCACGTGACCACGACGGGGGCTGTGGCCCGTGCGGCACGCAGGAGCGAGCTCGACACCCACAGCGACGGCCCGGGGGTGAGTGCGGCCAACCAAGGCGACGGCACGGCGCAAAGCAGCGGCGCGCGGTGGCAACCTCAGCCACCCGCGGGCATATCTAGAGCAAGCGCGAGCAGCGAGGTCGGCGGCTCGCGACGTCGGGAAGCGCGGTGCTCGCCGCCGCCGAGCTTGGGGCCAAGGCTCACGGTGTCGGAGCTCGCGGACACCTTCACGGCCACCACCTCCGTGCAGTCCGCAGTGCTATTGAGGCGCAGCGCCAGTCTCCACGGGCGACGGCGTCTACCTGCAATGCAAGGCAGATTCGGCCTCCCCGCACCGGCCCGCGGACCTCCTTTTCCCGCCCACAGCGTCGCCTAGCAAGAACCATCGTGCAGCTCATGGCGGCCTCGATTCGCAGCGGCTTCCGCTGCCCACCTCCTCGCCTATTTGCAAGTCAGATCCGGCCTTCCCGCACCAACCACCGCACCTCCATTTCCCGCCCCAGGTCCCACTACGCTAGAAACTTCGCAAAATGAAAGCAGGAAAAGGATGCAGAGAGAGAGAGCGCTCGCACCTGAAAATGGCCGGAACGGGCAGGCCCAGTTCTTATCCCCTGCGGTTTCTCCTTCTGGGAGACGCCGGCGACTGAGGCCCACGCACGATGGGGGCCTCCCGTGCCGTTGCGCCGCCGCATCGGACCGCCCGAGCCAGGGCCACCACGCCGGCCACCCGTGAGCGGGAGCGTGAGCGAGGCCTTGCGCCGCGCTGGGGGCCTCCTGTGCCGGTGGCCGCCGCGCGCGGACCTGCCTGCCCGCGCCAGAGCTGCTGTGCCGCTGCTGAGAATGAGGGAGAGTGAGGGAGGGAGTAGAGGAGCAAGCAGCTGCTGCCGCCTGCCATTTACACGAGAGAGAAAGAGGAAGGAGCACTGGTGCGCCGCGCACACACAGCGGGGATCCGCCACCCCAAAACCGAAGACGCGTGAGAGAGCGATGCGCGCAGCGGGGGAGAGGAGGCGGCTGTGCCCACCGCCAGGGCCTGGCCACGCCGGTGCGCCGAAGGCCGACCGATGCGGCCGTAGATCTAGAGAGAGGGAGAGGGAGAGGGAGAGGAGAGAGAGAGGCACCGCCCGCGTGGAGAGAGGCAAAGAGAGAGAGGAGGTTGAGAGCAGAGAGAGAGGGACGAAGGAGGCGGAGGGGAAAACTCACCCGCAGTGCACGCAAAGTAAGCAAGGTCCAGCAGCATGCACTCATGCGTACTCACATGTATACCGACCATCATGCTAATTAGGCACCGGTCATGCATGTCGAGAATCCAGCGTCCCCTGCTACGCGTCACATCCATTTACGTGCCGCGTAGAATCATCCACTTGCTTCATCTGTTCACTACTGAATGCACGGAGGAAGATCGGTTGTGACGCGCTTCATCTGAGCCGTGGAATTTCGATCTAACACACCAACTAAAAAGAACGTATGTGGACACATGTAGGCCGCCGATTCGGCGTGCCTTCGCATCTTTAATATAACGAAAGTCCGGCCCTTCTCATCTCCCTCTAGTTCATTTGAATTCATTTGAATCATCACGTTTCTCTCTCTTTTTCAGTCTCAGATGTCATCCGGCGAGGAGGCACCGGTGGCGGCCTGCTGCGGTGCTGCCTACACCACTCCCCCATCGGCGGCAAAGTCATGGGACGGCGCAGCTTCGGCGTCGGTCTGCGGCTCTTCTCGCGTTCGCGTCCCTCCCCCGATGATGCTGCTGCCGCCAAGGCTCCCACCACCACCACCGACCGCCTGGCGCTGCGTGGCCCCATCCTTCCCTTCCTCGACCCGTGGTGGCGCAGCCCGCCTCCTCCCGGCCGCGCGCGGCTCGCCCCCCCCGACCATGATAGCACGCCCCGCTCCTTCCCGATCCATGGCGGCGCTAAATCCGCCTTCCCGATCGGCGTGGTGTCGGCCCCCCCCCACGCACGCTCGGCTCCCCGACAGAGGCGGGCCACAGGCTGCGGTGTGGCCCGACCAGCACCCACGGTGGCCCCTGCAGCCAGGCGTGGACCCGCTCCTCCGACCATGCGCGCCCCCCTCCCGAGTGACTTGCGGGCTACAACGAACAACGAGATGGAGATGCCGGTGTCGGTGGTGGGATGTGGCGACGACAAGCAACAGCCCGACCATGGAGTCGCTTCGGGTGTTCCTCGTGTTCGGTTCCATCTTCTAGCTCCCCAATATCCTCCTCTTTAGTGGATCCAATCACCACTCAACGCAGATCGTGGAATCCATATCGATCTTGAGAAGGTACCTCTATCCGCGCCTCGTGGTCGCCCTAGTAGGGAGTGTGGCGCCACAGCCATGGTCAAGCCGGTAGGGAGCGCGGTGGCCTAGCATCTGCTGGCGGCGGTCGAGAGCACCACGGCTTGCCCGACAACAGGAGCCAAAGGTCGTTCTCATTTGAGGAGCGCCGCCGTCATGCGTCAGCGCGCTCTTCCTCCCTCATACGCCGATCTCCCCGCCCGGACCTCGCCCTGCCATCTGCGTTTGTCACCTCGCCGACAAAGATCATCTCCGGCGATTTCAACTACGTCATCAACTCTTTGGGCGTCGCGGAGGACGAGCGGGCGATGGGGCCACTCGTCGAGCTCTTCTCGGCTTGCGGCCTGGGGGGATCCCCCACCTCACCGCCCCGACGATGGCGCCTCATCCTACTCCAGGGGACCACTCTAAGGGTCACGACGACGACCACTCTCCCGATCCGGTGGCTCTTGATCTAGTAGCCGCACCTACGATTTGGTGAGTAGTCGCTTAGGTGCTCGATGATATGCCCACATTGTTGTTGGATGAACCGATTTGCTTATATTGCCTTCCTTCTTTTGGCCCAGCTGTACCGAAATTGCAGCACAGACGCAGGGACAGCACTGGCGTGCAGCATAGAACAATGTATAGAATTAATAGAGGAACAGTGCATAGAACCAAAATACCCTCTCTTAATTATGGGGGGATTATTGTACCGGGATCGTGACGGCCCAACCCAAACAATGCATAGAACAATGTATAGAATTGTGGACAAGTATACAGATAACTGTTCCAACAAAGTATGTCTGTTCTAACAATGAATAGAAGTGTGCTCCAATGATGTATAGAATTGTGTAGAAGTGCACAGATAGCTAAGGTGCACAGATATCTGCTCCAACAATATATAGAAATGTGTTCCAATAATGCATAGAAATTTGTTCCAACAATGTATAGAATATATACCCCATGTCCAAAAATTAAGACTTCAATTTCATTGCACATCATATCAATGAAAAGCATAAAAACAGTAATGAAACTAATATGGGAAAATTGGTCTGGTAGCATTGAAAGATCGACGTATCCGGAAAATACCATCGAAATTTTGCCGCTCCGTAAAATACCATCGAAAGAATGCAAGGTCACCTGGATATAGCATTCCGTCATGTTTGGAGCAAACGTCGTCGCCTCCGTCAAGCTCGTCCCCTTTGCCTTCCTGAGGTGAGCACGACCACGCGCTTCCTCTGCTTCCAAAGGGGGGCCATGGCGTGACTCCCGCGTCTGGCATCCGTGCGGCGGAATCACGGGCTGGTGCGGTGCAGCTCGGTGGAGGCGGCTTGACGGCCGGGCGAGCGTGTGGCGGAGCTGGCCTGCAACAAAGAGGCAATGAGCCCCAATGACTACACTCTATGTGTCTCAGACGCAAGCAACCACCGCCGCCATCGCTTTAAGTCCGGCCAATTGTCTAAACGATCTGGCTACACCATGGGTGAAAGAAGCTTTTCTGCTTTGGTAGGATTCCTCGGCCCTATGACCTTGAGGACTTCTTCTCCATGTTTTACGCGCGGCCCCATGTTCTATGGTTCTTAATTATACAAGGGCACGTACGGTACCACGTACAAGGCCACGATCGAGTCTGGGCCGGTCATGGCGGTGAAGTGCCTCAAGGAGACTTCGTTGCCAAAGCACGAGTTCTGGGACAAGGTCGCGGCCATCGGCGGGATCGACCATCCCAACATCGTACTCCTGCAGGCTGCAGGCCTATTACTTCAGCAAGGATGAGAGAAGCTCATGGTGTACGATCGAGTTCGTGGCCATGGGCAGTCTTTCCTCCATGCTTCACGGTACGTGCTCTGTTCTTGTCAAGCGACCTACGACTGTGACCCCTCTCTGTTTTGATGACCAAATTGAATGAGGTTTTCTGACGGGGTTCCTAATTGCAAGCAACCACGGCTCCGGCCGGTCGCCGCTGAGCTAGGAGTCGAGGAGGCACATCGCGCTGGCCTTGAGTACATCCACGCGACAGGCTCCATGGCCACGCACGGCAACATCAAGTCCTCCAACATAATCCTCAGCCGCACCTCGTCGGCCCGTGGTAACGCGTCGCACTGACACAAGCGCCGCGCAAGCTGGGTACCGCATACCGCGCCCGGGTTGTGGCGGACCCACGCGGGTGTCACTGAAGGCGACGTATGGCTTGCATGTTGCTCCTGGAGCTGCTGACGGAGAAGGCGCCGACGCACGCGGAGCTGCACGACGAAGGCGTGGACCTCCCGTGGTGGGCGCGCTCCGTGGTGAAGAAGGAGTGGACATCCGAGGTGTTCGACATGGAGCTGCTCAGGCACCCAGTACCCGAGGAGGAGATGGTGGAGATGCTGCGACTGGCCATGGACTGCACTGAGCCCGCCCCGGACCAGCGACCGGCGATGCCCGTGGCGCGCATCGAGGCGTCGACGGCTTGCGCCACACCAGCCCGATTTTTCTCGCGCACACATCTTGCGACGACGGCGCTCATTCTGCCATGCCCCCCTCTTGGAGCGAGCGCACACCAAGTGTACACGCCACCTCAGGAAGGAGAAGGGGACGAGCTTGACGGAGGCGACGACGTTTGCTCCAAACGTGACGGAATGTTATATCC